TAGGTGCTATGTAACTCCTACAGCTGCAAAAGTTATACAGTCCCTGCCTTCAGGGAGTTTCTATTCTCCTTGAACCAAATACCCACATCTAAATAAATACAAAATGTATTCATCCTCCTTGCAGTTCCTCACACACAATGGTCTGTCTCCTGAGTTTAGGCATTTTCACTGGCTGTCGACCCTGCCTACAACTCCCTCCCTCCCTCCTCATTGCTTCCTTCAAGTCTCAGCTAAAATTCTGCCTTCTGCAAGAAGCCTTTCCCAGTCCTCCTTAATCTTAATGCCTTCCTTCTGAGATTACTTCCAATTTACCCTGTCTATATACCGTCTGTCCATAGATTGTTTGCATATTGTCTGCTCCTTTAGACTGCCTGGAGAGCAGGGACGATATTTTTTGCCTTTTTTTGGTATTCCTTGGACTTAGCACAGTACCTAGCATGTTGCTAAACTTACTAAATGTTTAAAAACTAACTTTGAGGGTGGATTGCTAGCAACCATTGTTTGTCCTTTGTTTTTGAAGAGGACCAATGACGTCATAGGGTGATGTCTTGACTTGTATGTGGATTGGATTTAAGTGAGGCAGAATTACACCTCATTCTCTTCTAGAATCATTGAAGTCCAGTGGCAAGACAAAAGTCAGTATGACTGATAGTGACCCGGGAGGCAATGGATAACCTTGGTGTTCTGGATGTCTGACCAGGCTCTAAACTCTCCACAGAGCCTGCTCCAGCCACCTTCGTGGCCGTTGGAACAAATTGTTCTCTTCTGCCCATTTCCCCGAGGGAAGTCTTCACATATTTGGGATAGACATTCCCCTAATTTACCAATGTGTTTGATGCCTTTTGATTACCCCCAACCTGGGTATGTCTGCAGAGATGGTTTACTGGGGTGTGCCCATTGCGTGTGCTATAGCTTCTTGAAACCGCAGGTGAGAGTTGAGTGCCAGGTGGACACCAAAGATGGATGAGCAGCCTGGAAAAAGGCTTAGCAAGCCCTCACACCAGAGCTGCTGGTTCTTCCTGAATACTTCATATACCCCTACTAGCAACCAGAGCAATCAGGAAAGGCCTCTCAAAAAGACCATACAGGAGGGGAACATTGAAGGCTTCTAGGGAAACCAAGAAGTGATGTTGAAGAAGTAGGGTGTGAAAGACAGCTATCTTAAGATAAGAAGGAAGGTGCAGGGAATGTCAAGCAGTACAGTTTGTCTAACATGTAGAGTGCACAAAGTAGAATAATGCATAGTAGGCCTGGAACATAGGATGGGAGAGAACACTGGGAACTCTTCTAAGCACTTTACAGATATCTCATTTGATCCTCAAAACAGCCCTGGGGAGTGGGTAGGTATTATTATTGTTCCAATTTTACAGATGAGGAAACTGAGGCAGCCAGAAGCAAGGTTAAGTGACTTGCTCAGGGTCACACTGCTAGTATTTGAGGCCACATTTGAACTCAAATCTTTCTTACTGTAGGCCTGATGCTAAGAATGTGAAGGGCTGTAAATTCCCCTAAGAGGCATTTGCATAGTCAGGCATGGGCTTTAGGAATGTCACTTTGGGAACTGTGTGGAGCAGGAGTTCTTAATCTGGAGATAGATTTCAAAGAGTCTGTGAGCTTAGAGGAGAACAGGAATTATATTTTTATTTAAATGTAGTTTCTTTTGTAATCCTATGTTTGTTTGTTTTTTTAATGCATGTAAAAGCATCATTCTGAGAAGGGACCATGGACTTAACCTGACTGCCAAATGGGTCCATGACACAAAAAGACTTACGAACCCCTGGTACAGAGGATGACTTGAAAAAAGGAGGTCTGAAATTCAGTCATTCCATGATGTTCACTATCCTTCTCTGGAGCTTCTAGTGAAAGGATTGGTTGCCAAAAATGAAAAAAAAAAAAAAAAAAAGTATATCTTTCCTGCATTTTATATGAAGTATGTACTATAAATATCTGGTTTTAATTTAACAAATTCTTGCTCATTATGTATAATAACAGCAACAATTAACATTTATATACTACCTACTGTGTGCTGGGCACGGAGCTAAGCGCTTTGCAGATTTTTCTCATTTTATTCTCACAACGTTTTGAGTAGATGCTATTATTAGCTCCATTTTGCAGCTGAAGATACTGTTGTGTTCAGTCATTTTTCAGTTGTGTCCTACTCTTTGTGACCTTATTTGAGGTTTTCTTGGCAGAGATACTGGAGTGTTTTGCCATTTCCTTCTCCAACTCATTTTACAGATGAGGAAACTGAGGAAGAGGTTAAGTGACTTGCCCAGGGTCACACAGCTAGTAAGTGTCTGAGGTCAGATTTGAACTCAGGTCTTCCTGACTTTGGTCCCAAGACTCGTCTGTGTCACCTTGTTGGCCCTGTATAAACATTTGCTGCATGAACAAGGTAGCAACCAAAATACAGCTGTATATGAGATGAATTGGTAAACTTATTCAGTTTTTTGCTTTTTTATCTATTAATTTTATTAGCTGTTTTGATAGATTTTTCTCCATTCCTGCATACCACCTGAAGATTAGCATTCTCCCAGAATAAAGGTTTCTCACAAAATCAATTGTTCAGCTTGTTAAAAGAAAAGCAATTGTTCAGCTTGTTAATACATTTCATATGACTTCTGGATTCCTTTACACTAGTCACTAGCATTAAGTGGGGGAAGGGGAAAACCTTTTTGCAGAATATAGGATTTTAGCTGAGACTAGAAGGAAATCAGAGAAGTGAGGAGGTGTGTGTGTGTGTGTGTGTGTGTGTGTGTGTGTGTGTGTGTGTGTGTGTGTGTGTGTGTGTGTGTATACTTCATATATATCAGAAGGCCTATGTGACTTCCAGGATGTATATGACTTCCCTCAGTGATAAGGTCTGATTTATCCTTTCTCTATCTTATTTTATGTATGGTTGCTTGCATTTTAGCTCTTCATTTGATTGTGAATTCCTCGTTTTTTGGGTTTTTTTCTTTTTTTTATCCCCAGCTCTTAGCAGTAAATGCTTGTTGCCTTGAATTTTGTGCAAGATTAGACTTTAGGCCTCTTCCAAAACACTGTATTCATATGGTAATGGAAATGAGGGAAAAGTTTTCATATATGGTTTTGCTCCTGCTAGATAGAGGTCATGTCCAAGTTTTGTGTGTGTGTGTATACATACACATATTCTTTCTCTCTCCACATACACACACACACATACACATGCATGCACATATACATTCATATATGTACACAGCTAGATATGTTGAGGTTAAGACATCTGTGTGACATCTAGTTTGAGATGTCCAAAACACATTTGGAGATGGGATACTGGAAGTCAGTAGGGAATTTAGGGCTGGATAAGTAGATTTGTAGAGAGATGATAATTAAATCCATGAAAGCTAAATAGTATAGAGAACAAAAGAGTGCCCAGGACAGACTCTTAGGGGATGCTCATGGTTAGTGGGCAGGACCTACATTGAAAAAAGGCCATTAGATTTTGACAAAGTGTTTCTTTATAATAAGTTGACAGTGCAAAATGTTTTGAGTCATATTTTATAGTATCATACATCCTAGAATATTGTCCCGGATAAGGGAATGTTTAAAAAAAAAAGTATGTGTCACAATTTAAAATCAATTCTTATGCTTACATAATGGTGACTTTCCCAAAAACATGCCATGATAAACAGTAATGGTATTCATAAATGGGTTGGCTCACCCCTTTTATAAGATTTTCCTAAAATTATCCAATTTAGTTTGGTTCAGTTTAGATTATCCTAATATTTTTCTTCTTTATAATTAGGTTTGTAAAATATATACATTTCAATACTTGATACTTTCTGTTTAAAGATTAATCCATCTACTTTCTAAAGTATGAAAATTGATAAAATGTTTCAGAAGTTTTCATTTGATAAAAGATCCCAGCAAAAGGATCATGAGACCAATTCAAAGACATGATATAGATTATTTCATTGATAGACTTCAATGATAAGTATAGTAATTATCTAACTTTGTTCATTTTGATTCCTCTCTCCTTTTTTTTAAACTTCACCTGCCTTTTAAATTTTTTAAAAAATATAAACTATGATTTCTCTTCTTAGAATAAACAGCTATTCAAAATTTTTTGTAGCTTAATTGTCCTCAGCATTTCAGCTTAAACTATTCCTAAAAAGAGGCCTGGGTATAAAAAATAAATGTTCCTGATTCATCAGTAGCACATATATGATTGTAGCTGCTTTGGGGATTCCAACTCCCCATTTGAGAAATACTCCTTTGAAAATGAATTAATTCACATTGCCTGTCTTCCATGTGGCTCAGGAGTCACTGGGTACAAATCTTTAATACTGTGTTAATTTTGAAGGAAACTATGACATTACACATTGATTCTTATCATATCCTAATAGGCAGGCAGTATAGAAAGAATAATTGTCATTTCACAGCACTTAAAAATTTTTTTTTAAAATTCCTCCTACCAATTTTCCTGCTGAAAAATATAATTATAAAAGGACGACTTTTAACAGCCAGGTTGCTTAACTAAGGATACGCCATATGACTAAATATCTGGTTACCATAATGCCCTTTATAAACCCCTCCTGCAACCCCAACATATGCCAGATACCATAAGGAAGCTGGTGTAAGAATCAGTGTTTTATTAGTATTAAAAAAAACACATTTGGGGACTTTTCAGAGCCAATTCTCAGATACCCAAAAGTGCCTCACAAAGAAAGGATAGTTGATTTAATTGCATTCAACAGGTTACTTTCACTGGATCACAAAGCATGTCTCAGTACTACCAACATATAAATATTTACTATAGTCATATAGCATAAGACCATTTTTTAATCTTACAGGGAACTTTTTATATGAGAGATCATATAAGAACTGTATTTTTGTTGATTTACCATAGTCAAGTACTTCGAGATTGAAATGTGTCTTTTTACTGAGCCCTTAAAATCTTTATAGTACAGGAAAAACTGTTAACTTGACCCATAATTTCTCATGTAAGTTAACTCACAATTTAAGGAAAAGAGACTTACCACTTTGACTCAGAGTTGATGATGATAAGAAAAGAAGTTGAATCGTTGCCCAAAGGAGAATTTTCATTTTGATCACTGGAGTTCTCTTCATAAAATACTTCTGCTTCTTAGGGAAGGTGAAGATCTTTCCTTAATTTCATAATTTAAGAACAGAGAATAAAATGTTAGGAGTCTTCTTTCTGTAAGCGTGCTCTGGGCTGTGAACCACTGTGAAGTTCTCTGTAGCTTTCCGCAGCAAAAGGGTGTAGCACGTCTAAATGTGTAAATATGCATGACTCATTCTGAGCCTCTGCAAACAAGGAAAATATTAAATTGCTCATAGAAAAAGCCATTTTAACTCTTAACTTTCACTTAATACAAATTATTATTGGTAAGTGTGATTTCTACTCCCACGTGCCCCATTCATGATTAAAATGTGAATTTATAATTATTTTTATAAACAATAAAAGTATTTATGAGCAATTGTACATAATGATGATAGAAGTAAGCTAAAAATGCAAATGGAGCTGGCCCCTTAGTTTTATTTAGTCCCATAATTTCAGTACTGCTTGTTTGATAAAAATCAAGATAACTATACTCTGGAATTCCTTTATAATAACTGGGCTTTAATTTATATGTTTCATTTAGGAACTCTAAATAAGCTTGCTTTTCTCTCCCTAGCATCTTCAACCTCAGCACCAAAAACTATGCAGCATTTTCACGAAGTTTTAGTTGACCCAATTGTTTAATCTCTGTTATCCCATGGGATCTTTGCAATAACTCTGAGAAAGTATTCCTTGTTTTATTGTGGGGGGGGGGGGGGGGAGGTTGCTTCACTGGGCTTCTGGGACTTGTCTACAGTCACATAGCTGTTAAGTAGTAGAACCAAGACTCAAACCCAGGATTTCTAAATCCTAATCCAGTGTTTCTTCCATTTTACAATGCCTAATAGTTTTGCTTAGTTTTTTCCCCCTTTTGTCCCCCCTCTATGTTCCCAAACCACACCATATCTTAATTCTTAGATTCTTACCTGCATAATATAAATAAATTATTCATGTTAGGAATGAATATTCATGACAGTCAGCAGTTGAGTGGCCACTTTGGATTATGTTCCATGTCTTCAGGCTCATATAAATTTAATACTTGTGTGAATAGATCTGGTGGCCTGAATATCACTTTCCATTCCAATCCTCCATACCCTATAAACACATAAAAGTTAATTGATGAAGAATGAACATCAAATACTATTTTATAATCATGTAGTCATTTATAATGGTAGTTTAGAAAACAAAGGTAATGACAAGGACATAGTTTCCAATGTAAATTTAATAATTGACTGCAGGTTCCTTTGACTTACCCTGCTACTCTTTCTTTTCTTTTGGTGGAGGCAATAGGAGCTAAATGACTTGCCCAGGGTTATACAGCTAGTAAGTATTTGAGACTGGATTTGAACTTAGGTCTTCCTGACTCAAGGGCTGGTGCTCTATCCACTGTGCCACCTAGCTGCCCCTACCCTTTCAAGTAATGCTTAGGATGAATTTCACTTGAAAACCACAAGAGATTTTGGTTTAATTGGAATGGTCCCAATTAGTTCAGTTTATGTGACTAAGTACTTAGACATTAGAACATAATTGTTTTCCTTCCTCTCTGTGTTTAAGTTCATTCCATGATATGCTTTCTACAAATTAGTGAGTTCCCATCTCTCTTCATGATTATATTAAACATAGCAAGGTAACCCTTGTATTTGACAATTAATAATTCTATTGTTGGAAATGTATCCCAAGAAAGGCCATCTCTGGTTGTCCTGATGTGTATCTGGCCACTGGACCCAGATGGCTCTAGAGGAGAAAGTGAGGCAGGTGACCTTGTACAGCTCTCCCTCACTTAAATCCAATTCATTAGCATGTCATGACATCACCTTCCTGATGTCATGGTCATCTTCGAGGGCAAAGGACGAACAACAATCCCAAGGAAATAATTTTAAAATCAAAGAATGAGCATTTATTAATAAGATAGAAGAATAGCAGGAAGGTGTCCAAGTAAGCTCCCTCCTCCATAAAAAATAAAACATCTCTAAACAGATCTAGAAAAGGTACCAAACCAAATCCTCATGGGAAAATTCAAGCAAAAGTCACAATGAGTTATTTTGCCAGCCCAGATCAGCAAGGGAAAACAGATAGACAGGTTTGTAGACAACTAGGGATGGGGTTTGGTGGTGATACCAAGCATTCCAGTGTAGGGAAGGTTTGTGTACCAGGGAAAGAGGGGCTCCCAAGTTTCAGATGCATAGTCACTAGAGAGACTATGAATTCGGCTTACTGTTGAAGGTGACCTTCGAACTGAATATTGATTAAGCCAGTAGGTAGAGATGAGGAGAAAACCCAACCCTAGCACGTGAAGCAGCGAGCACAAAAGCATGAAATTAGGAGATGGAACTTCATGTGTGAAGGGAAGCTAGTAAGACAAGGAGAGAGTGTAGAGGGGAAGGAAGTATGAGAAGACTGGAAAGCTAGAAAGGTCCAGCTTGGAGAGTCAGCAGATTTCGTATTTGATCCTGGAAGTGGTGAGTAGGGGAATGTGATCAGACCTGCATATTAGAAAAAATCATTTTGTAAGCTTTTGGTTTTTTTGGGTTTTTTTGGTTTTGGTTTTTTTTTTGGAGTATGGCTTGGAGTAAGGCAAGATGTGAGGCAATTAGGTAATTCAGTGGGACTTAGAGTAAGGAAGATCTGAATTCAAATCTGGCTTCAGACACTTACTAGCTGTGTGACTCTGGGCATGTCACTTAATCCTGTTGACCTCAGTTTTCTCATCTGTAAGATGAGCTGGAGAAGGAAATGACAAATCACTCCAGTATCACTACCAAGAAAACTCCAAATGGGGTCACAAAGAGTCGGACATGACTAAAATGATACAACAACAAGGTAAGATGTGAAGCAATCAGGAAGACAAATTAGGAAGTTATTACAATAGTCTAGGGAATGAGAAAAGGAGGGGCCCAAACCAAAATGGTGGCCATGTGAATAAAGAGAAGTGTACATATCCAAAAGATAGTATGTGTAGTCTAGTCATAGCAAGATTGGGCAACTGATTTGATGTTTGGGTGATGGTGAGAAGTGAGGGTTACACCACGGTTGCAAACATGGGTGACTAGAAAGTTAATAGAATTATAGATTTAGAGTTGAAGGTGATGTTGTAGGCCATCTAGTCCACCCTTCTCATTTTACAAATGAGGCACTGAGGCCAAGAGAGGTTAAGTTGTTTGCCCAGAATCACATGGCTAATCAATGTCTAAATTGGGATTTGAACCTAGATTTTCCTGACTCTGAGCACTCTGTCCTTTCTGCCACATTGTCTCATGTCCAGTAGAGGTCATGCCCTCCACAATAGTAGGAAAGTTTGAAAGATAATGGGGGAAGATAATGAGTTCTGTTTGGGGGCATGTTAGTTTTGAGATACTTACAGGATAGCCAGTTCATGGTGTCTAAAAGGCAAATGAAAATGTGGGACAGTAGCTCAGGAGAAGGACTAGGGCTGAATATATAGATCTGCACATCATCTAAAGAAAAATTATAATTGAACTCATGGAAACTGATGAACTCAGAACAAGTATAGATAAAAAAAAAAAAGGAAATTGTACCACAGAGCTAAGGGGGTACAGCCACAGTTATTGCGCATGACATGCTCAGAGTTTCAGCAAATGAGACTGAGAATAAGTGGTCACAGGGGTTGAATGAATAACCAAGAGAAGGCAATGACATGAAAACCCAGAGAGGAGAAGGTGATGAAGTGTCAAAGGCTGCAGAGAAGTTAAGAAAGCGAGGATCAATAAAAGGTAACTATCTTTGGCAATTAAGAGAGTGTTAGTAACTTAGAGAGCAGCTTCAGCTGAATGTTGAGGTCAAAAAGTAGATTGCTGAGGGTTTAGAAGAGAGCGAAGGCTAAGGATATGGAGGCACTGGTTGCAGATGGCTTTTATAAGTGATTTAGCTGAGAAAAAAAAGAGAGGCTAATTATTCCCTGGAATGGTAGGATCTTGAAAGGGTTTCCTAATATTGCAGACTTGAGTGTGCTTATATTCACCGGGGAAGGATCTGGTAGCTAGGAAGAGATTGAAGATTAGAGAGAAATAGGGGTTTACTGAGGAAACAATTTTCTGGAGGAAATGGAAAAGTATGGGATGAAGGATATATGTAGAAGAAGTTTTCTTGGCAAATAAAAGTGCTACTTCTTAATCAAAGACTGGAAGAAAGGAGGATGTACTGGGGGGGTGGAGAAGGTGATGTATGAATGGGATGAGATGGGAAGAAGGGGAAAAAAATGAGTGTGAGTATATGTGTGTGTGTGTGTGTGTGTGTGTGTGTGTGTGTGAGAGAGAGAGAGAGAGAGAGTGAGGTCCATCTGAGTAGCTGCGAGGGGTGAGGGAAGATAAGTAGATCTACTTTGGACATGTTGATTTTGAGAAGCTTGTGGCATGCAATTCAAAATATCTGATTGGTAGTCTATAAGAAACTGGAGTTCAGTAGAGATAAATCAATCCTGTAATCTGAATCAGGAGATAATCAAATCTATAGGAGTTGATGAGATCACCAAGTAAGAGCATTAAGGAAAAAGAAAAGAGGACCCAAAATAATACCCAAAAATACTTTGGGGGGAATTTTCACAATTAGCTGCCAAGTCATTGATGGAAACCCAGCAAAAGAAACTGAGAGGTGGCTGGACAGGAGAACAGCCAAAAGAACAGTCATGAAAACCCAGAAAAATTACAGTATTCCAGAAGAGATGGTGGTTTACAGTGTCAGACCCTCCTCTGCTTTTTTTTTCTCTTTGCCAAAATCTCTAGCTCAAGATCTAATAACAAATTTAGTTGGTGGTGAAGTGTTCTCATCAACACTCAGCCACTGACTGACTTGTTTAGAAAATGCTTTCTAGATATTTCTTTGTTTAACGCATCCCCTTGTTTTATATGCCTTCCTTTTCTGGTGTGCCAAATCTCTACATTTTTACCTATTCTTCTCTCAAAAAAAAAAAAAAACCTTACCAAAACTAGCTTCCTCTTGATAAAACTGGCCAATGGGGTAGAAGTGTCTGGACCTTAGTTTCCTCATCTGTAAAATGAAGCATCTGGAATAGGTAGCATCCACAGTACCTTCCAAGTCTAAACCTTCTATTCTAGGACCATATTCTGTTTCTTTGGCAGGGTAAAGATTAGATCTCGACAAGAACTTCAAAGTGATTTAGTCCAACCACTTCATTTTATAGATCAGGAAATT